GCGAGCCGCTCAGGGGGGGAAACGAGCAGCAGCGTCGGGCGTGGCGTGTAGATCGGGCAGTTGAGGTGTTCGAGAAGGCCCTCGATGGAGTCGATCCGGCGGATGGCGTCCGCGGTGGAGTCCGCCGACGGCCGGGCGAGCGGCAGGAGAAGCCCCCAGAGGAAGAGGGCCCACAGCCACGAAAGGCGCATTACACGGACTAAGCAAGACTTCCAATTGTATAATATATCTATATCTATATATATATAGATATATAGATATATAGATATATAGATATATACACCCTATTTTAATGATAAGAATAATGAAAAAAGGCACTCGAGTGCTCAATTCGACTCTTGCTGCTTTTAAACGTGAAGGCAAATTAAAACGGAGAAGAGTATAGAAAAGGGAAAGCAAGCCTCGAAAATCAAAAGGACTGAGCAAGATATGGAGTTTGTCAATCTTGTTTTGTTTCCATCATACGGGTTGCCTAATAGGAGACTATTTGGCATAAACCAGTGCAAACTCAACGGTTCTTCCCCTCGCCACCTCAATCCTCCTGAATGTTCTTACAATTTTGGCTTGTGAATAACAAGAGGGCGCAGACGCGAATTCCATTGCAAACAGGCTCATCCTTCATATTTCTCTCTTCTCCACTTTTCCCTTAATTTCGATTGCCTCTTTTTTGCTCTTCACGATCGATGTAATCAATTCCCAATTATTCCTCAGTGGAATCACTTTTTCTCAAAAAGAAAAGAAACTAAAAATAGTAACCCAAAAGAAAAAAACTGTCTCCTTCAAATCCTTTTTAATACCTCACTGAAAATCAAAACGAAAGCAATGAAAGGGCTTAATGTGGAACGCCCCTTTAGTCATGTTGGTTGTTTACAACAAAGGTATATTAAAAAGGAAGAAAAAATCTAATACGTCTCCTGAGTTTGATATAGATAGTTCTCAGCGACCGACACCGGCCCGCTTTATTGATGAAGAACCGCACTCATTTTCATTTTTTTTAATTCCCACACAAAATTAAACAATTGCGACTTGTAGAACTGTGGGGAATAAAGGAGGGGTAAACAAAGAAACACAATCAATTAAATAGTCAATACTCTTTAGAATGATAACAAAGAACGAAGAATAATTGAAACGGACGGGTCACCCCAATAGTGATCGTCTAAGAGAGATATCATCCAAAGTGGGAATGACACCTCAAAAGTATAAAGAAAAGAATGAAAGCAAACGATAAACCATCAGAGATGGTCTCATCGCCTCTGGCTCTTCTCGAAAACCAGTGAATCTCACGTTCGTTTCACCGTCCTCTTTGCACCAAGCAAGACAATATTTAGCGCCACTTCAAAGGACTTTACGAACGATGGGACCGGCAGGAACTCGAAAGGGGAATGAAAGTTATGTGCACCGGTAAAAAAGTTCGGCGTTAACAACCCCTGAGCAGAGAGTGCCGCACCGTCTGTTCCGCCTCGCATCGGAATCACCTTTGGCTCCACACCCGCCTGCCGTACGGCATCCAGGAGCAGCTCAATCGCGGTGGGATCCCCGTTGATCGCGTTCGAAATGTTCGCATAAACGTCCTCGATGTTCATATGCACGCTGCCGGTAGGGTACTTCTGCTCGATAGTCTTGACGGCATCGAGCATCGCCTGCTTGCGCTCGTTAAATCGCACGAGGTCGTGCTCGCGAATCATTGCATGCAAAGTCGCCTCAGTGGTGTTTGCCTGCATCCCTGCAAACCACCAATATCCCTCACGCAACTCCGTGCACTCCGGGGTTTGTTCACGATCGAACAAGGCGATGTAATCAACCGCCATGAGAAGCGGGTTCACCATAACGCCCTTCGCCGACATTGGGTGCGCCGACACCCCTACAAATTTCAGCGTAACGGTGGCGGCGTTAAAACACTCATACACCACCTCCCCTAGCTCGCAGCAGTCGATGGTGTAGGCAAAATCCACGTTAAAGCGCTCCCGCACGTTTAGTTTTTTCGCCCCGATAAGACCGATCTCCTCGTCGGGAACGAAGCACACCACCACGTCACCGTGGCTGAAATCGGGCGACGCCGTCAACGTGCTCACCAGCTCCATCACCACGCTCACCGCCGCTTTATCATCCGCCCCGAGCACGCTCGTCCCATCACTGAACAGAATATCCTGACCCACATACCTCGCGAGCTCCGGGTGCGCCGCCGCCCGCATCCAGAGGTCCTTCTCCCGATTCAAGCACACATCCCCCCCTGTATAGTGCTGCAGCTGCGGCCGCACGACTGGGCTCAGGCCGCAGTCAAAGGTGTCGAGGTGGCAAATAAACCCGATCCGTGGGGCCCCCGCCGGGACCCCGCGGCCGCGGCACACCGCCGTCACCGTTGCGTGGGAGTCGCAAACGACGTCGCAGAGGCCGGCCATCCGCAGCTCCGCCGCGAGCCCTTCCGCGAGCTGCTGCTGCCCGGGCGAGGAGGGCACCACGGCGGGGCCGCCCGCCCGCGCGACGGCGGCAACGCTCCCCGACGGGATCGCGGAGTACCGCAGGAAGCGCTCCACCAGCCGCCGCTCCAACGGGACCTCACAGGGCATCCGCGCAGGACCACTACACCGCTCGGGAAGGAATGGATCGAACGCCTCAGAGGCGAGCAATGGTGACAATAAGAATCGTCGGAAGCGACTATTCCTCCCTTCTTCCTGCTTTCTCTGAAGTAATGGTCCGAAAGAAATGTCAGACCGACCGCTTCAAAACACCTTTTTTCCCCTTTTTTGAGTAGCACTAATACGTACCTATCTATCTATCTATCTATAATATATATGTAGATATAGATATAGAAATAGATATAAAGAAAAGGAGAATGGAAGAAAGGGGAAACAAGGTGAAAGGCTACCATAGGAATTCAGATTTTATGCACATGTTTGCGGAGGGAACACCCTCCCCCGCACTTGTGAATGGATCGCCAAAAGTCAATTAAAAGCACCTGTGGTGGATCAGCCACCTTCTTTTTCTCTTTTGTACAGTTCTCACAGAAGAATCTTTCTAGAGAAAAAAGAGAGAACCCATAAATTACATGATCGTTGTTTCTCCTGACTTGAATGCTGGTCCATAATTCGCCTCGCGTTTCTTTGCTATCCTTAGTCCTTTTCATCTACCATCCTCTTCTTTTCCCCCTCCTCTTTCTAGTATTGTATAACGCGTTGGACCTGTTTGAGCTCGGAAGAGGGCGTTCCGCGGAGCCCTTTGATGTACTGCACGACGTGAGGTGGCTGGGTCGCGGCATCTTGCATGGTCTGCGTCGACGACGTCTTCGGCGGCCGCGCCTGCGTGGAGTTATCGCGGCGGAAGCCCGACGCCCCCGTCTGCGTGGAGTGCGTGCGCATATTGAGCAAATTCACGAGTTTCCGCGCCTGTCGCCGGAGATCCCACTCATTCCAGCGGTAGTTGTGGTCGAAGTAGGGGTCGATTTGCCCGGTTTGCGTGCCCGCATCGGCGCGGCCGCCGGCCTCCCGCGCCGAGCGGGCGGCGACGGCGGCGTTTTCGATCGTCCGCGCGCCGGCGACGTAGAGCTCGTAGGGGGCGTAGTCGAGCAGCCCGGCGAGCAGCAACGCGGCGGGCTCGCGCGGGGCAAGAAGGGGGGGCGATGCCGCGCACGAGACCGGCCGCGGTGGGGCCTCGCATTTGCCGTGGAGGGCGGCGTCGAGGTACCGCATGGGGTCCGCCGCGAACGCGAGCAGCGCGGGCTCGTCGCGGAAGGCGAAGTACTGCGGTCGGGGCAG